TATACTAGTATTGTACTTAGTTAATTTACTTAGTAGTTGGGTTAAGTTATAATAAATATATATATATATATATATATATATATATATATAAAACCTGAAAAAATTATTTTGTTTCACATCCTCCACGTGGAAAATTTGATAAGGTTTAGCAACCTACGGCAAGCAGCAACCAAGTACAAAGTTCATAACTAGAAGAGATAATTGTTTATCATACTTCTTTATTTACTGTTCTTTGTTTTAAGAAAAACAAGTTAAAACTTGTATGTAAATAGTAATAATGTATGTACGTATCATCTATTATAATGGAAATGTGACTATTTTACAAAATACTAGTCCACTAAAACACAGCCAAGACAGGTTCACTTTGTAAAGGCCAGTCTTATATTATTGGATATGGTAACATTAGTGCATATGTGCCATGTCATTGCAACTTCTATAATGTTAGCAGGCATGACTAACAGGCCATTATAATAAATATATATTCTTATGAGATTTAAGCTGTTTAGACTAAACATTTGTGTTTTTGTGTTATAATTTTTGTCATTCTAGAACAAAAAAAGCATAATTTATATTAATTTCCTAATTTTTTATGGTTACAAGGTTGGGCAAATCGACCCATCCCACACAGAGATATAGTATTGAAAATAACAGATAAGATATAATGTTTTTTTTTCTCAAAAAAGTTGTATAATTATCTGGAGGTTATAAAGATCTCACTTGTGAAATTTGAAAATGTTCTGTTGCATAAAAGTATTTTTAATCTTAAAATCAAAATTACTTTGCATGTCAGATAGTCAACAGTCAAAAAGAAAAAAGGCATGATAAAAACATTACTGAGGAAATCTTAACATTTAATAAAAAAATCTGATATACAAAAACCTTGTAATGTTTGCTAATAATTGCAATATTTTGTAAAGATATTCATACATTATCATAAATCATAGTATAATTACTCTCATGGATACATTTGTGGTTATAAGCCGTGATGGATCCCACCTAGCCTGTATTGGTACGGTTAATAGTGATTCATTAAGACAGGAAAATAGCAAGAGAACATTTACTCATTAATTTATGAATGTTTGTATTATAATAGCAGTTATTAATTTTATCAAAACTATAGCCAGTAATCTCTGGTTTCCTATAACCTTAACATTTTCAATTTGATGTTATTTTTATAATGACTTCTAACCTGAAATCTTCTCTTAAACATGTAAATTCAATGTATTATATTATATAATGTTGTATTTACTTTTAAGGTAGAAGGAGAAACAATAGATGTAACTGAATGCATCAGGCATATCTTACTAATTACCATGTTAGTGGTAACAATAGAAGTATCATAGCAACATTAGATATTACTGAATGCATCAGGCATATGATAGTAGTTATTGTATTAGTGGTAACAATGAAAGTATCATAGCAGTAGTAGATATAACTGAATGCTTTAGACATACCTTACAAATTACCAAAAGTACCATAGTGACAGTCAGAAAATTTGGGTGGCTAGATAATTAGTTCTAATCAAAATCAATGATTTACGTTTAGTTCAAAAAACAAGTTTTTGAAGAGGTAAAAAGAAATCATTATCTCGTGTTTCTTTCCTGAATGTTCTAATACTAGAATTGTTGTTAGAAACAAATGATGTGTGTTATATGTATGATGTTCTTAGTTGTCTTTTACTCACCACAAAGTGATTCTATGTTTATATAGGATATGATGAATATGTAGCATTAATTCTACTGATGTATTTTTCTAAGTTATTTGGTGGACAAGCTGTTTTGTCTCCTCTGACGGAGAGCTGTGTTGTTGTTTCAGACGGTGAACTTGGTCCTCCATTGGCAAAAGAGCAAAAAACAGTTACTGTATTTCAAACAGATTTTTGCAGGTAAGAATGTAAAGTTGTAGAAAATAGTTTTTTTTTCTGCCATTGAGAATCTATTGCTGTTTCAATATATTTGAAAACAGAAATGCACTTTTTTGATAGAATTGACTGTACCTTTGAACATAATTTATCTAATTTATTCAATTTTGAATTGTATAGAATTCTTTTGTTTCAAATTGCAAAGATAAAACTACAAGTTGTATAGTAAATGTGCAATACAATTTTTATTCTTGATTTCTCTGTAGTTCTGTTTTACAGTTTTCCATAATCTATCGGTTTTATGTTATTTGTTAAGAAGTAATATCAGTAACTATTTTGTGGGGTAATATTACTTGTTACTTGAAATTTTTTATTTTTCACTATGCATAAACCTTAGAATGCAGTCAAACGTTGGTATGGTGAAGTGCCAGAATTTTGGAAATATGAGATATCAGATGATTGAAATAGCGAATCAGTGACCTTTACTTAATTTTTAATTTCTAATAAATGTTGAATATTAGGTACAATAAATGTTAAAAGAAACATACAAGGCTTAATTCTGAATTTGATGTCAGCCAAGCATTTAAAATATCCAGTTTCAACATATCAATGTCTGACTGTAATTCCAGTAGCAAATATCCATAGTTCTAAGTAAGCTGTATGATGAGCCAATGGCAGAAGGAAAGGGTACCAACTGTTTCTTCTTTAATTACTGCTATATTACTATGACCAATATACATATATAATTTTACATATACCCAAGTCTAATAGTGTTGGGGGTACAGTTATAGTTATTTATGTATGCTTATCTCTAAAGTACTTATAATGTAATATCTCTAACCTTCAGAGACATTTTAGCTCTTCTAATATAATAATATTTGTGTAAAGTAGTTATTAGGTTTAAATCTAACATTCTAGCTACTAACCTTCAGCAGTATTGGTCATAAATCTCTGTTATTGTCTATTTTTAAGTCTGTAAACTTTCAAATATTTCACAAGGGTGAGTTTATAAGGCTTCAGATTGTTTTGAGTTCTGATGAAGTTTTAACAGTGCTTAATTTCTGTTGAATTTGTTTATTATTATTAAAGTAAGGGTGGAAACACTAATTTTAAGACAGCCTCACTTGCAGTGCAAAAATGATATTTGACTGACATGGCCAAATACATTACTCCCCACCCCACCACAAGTATTAGCCTCAGTAACTTTTAATTTGCTATCATCAAAAAAATGTTGCTCCCCCCCCCCCCACGTCAACAGGATTCTGTTACCTTTTTTTTTCTAGAAATCAAGCACTGAAATTTAGTGGTTGGGTACTGTGGTTGTTTGGAGTAATATCTTGTTATTTGAGTTTTTATTTTAAAGGTATTTTTTGGTTTTTTAGATCTTGGAAATTGAACTACAAAAAGGAGGTTAACATTAGGGGTATGAAGTGTCACCGATTCTCTGCCAAGAAATCTGTGCTTGCTAATGGTACAGATAACCCTGAAAACAGTTGTTTTACTACAAGAAGGCATCTTCCATCTGGTGTCATGGATTTGAGTCCATGTCGCTATGGTATGACTAACCTAGTAATTTTTTGTTTTTAATATATGTGTTGATGCAGTGAACAAACAATTTTGCCTCTTTTTTTAAAGACAGTTGTGAACTTTTGCATTTGTTTTTAATATGTCATTAATTAAGTTGAAGTAGTGTTAATTATACACAATTTATTCTAGATTCTCCTGTAGCACTTTCATTTCCTCATTTTTATCTGGCTTCACCATCTTATCTCAGAGCTGTGGAAGGTCTGAAACCTAATGCATCCCTTCATGAATTCTTCTTGGACATTCACCCGGTAGGATTATCTTTAATTGACTTTCTGTAAATCAAACTCCTTCATCCTGAACTTTACTACATAAGGAATAAAGTAAGAATTTGTTTCAAAGTGAACAAATATGAAGACTTAATTTTAAGAAGTATTATTTGTTACCAGGAAGTGTAATCTTCATGCTGGTATATCTTAAACTTTATTTTTGATGTTGGCCTTTTCAACAGAATGATAGAAGTGTACCTTGCTTCTCAGTAAAAACTTTGAAAAATGTAAATGAATTAATCTTTTGGTGAATAATTAAATATTCCTGGAAAGGATTGTGTAATAAACATGAAATGTTTAGACACTGACTTGTTAAAAAATTGATTAACAAAGCATTTTCATTGGTAATAACAATGAAAATTTTAAATTATGAAGTAGTAATCTGTAATGTATCCAGATGGTCTGAAGAATTGTGTTTCTTGGCAAGTTTCTAGAATGTTATTATTAAAATGATTTACATTGAGAAAGTGAATGGATTGATTTACACAAGAATTCTTTGGTGATATAAAAGAACTAAAGGATAATGTTTCTTTTAAGCATTTTAAGTTCTGCAGTAAGTAAGAGGCATAACACATGAATCCAATGTGGAACACAATAGTAATACACATTTGTAGTGTTCAAATCCTTAATGTCTATTAATGTAATTGAAAACGTATTAATGAACATTTATTATTTAAGAATGCTTTGTCTAAAGTTGAACAATTGTTTTTAAACAAAATTAAGATTGGGGGTAAATTTAATTAAAGAGCAAACTTTGTATATGGAGCATGTTATCTTACTTTACTAGCGATCTGGTATATCAACTAGTATCAGTGCTCGCATTCAACTTAATGCCATTCTGGAACAAGACAAAAATATAAGGTAAGTTTCTTTTCAAGTTATGATTTAAACACAATAAGTTGGCAAAACTATTGGAAACCAATAGTTCTAATAGTTGTTAACAAATCAAGTTAACTGCATATTTTATTCTTTACACATTCATCTTAAATTATCCATTGTAGCTCAAAATCAAAGGTGTGTAAAAATAGCATTTCAGATCTATATTTTGTTTCCCATAAGTTGCTCCAGTCTGTACTTTAACAAATTGAATGTATTTTGTGAACTAATAGTGCCCATTATCTTTCAATGAATAGAACTAGCTGTATTGTTTGAGGGGAATGTATCCAACTACACTAAAGATTATTACTTCATTGCAGAATAATATAATGATAAATATGAAACAACTTATAAGAGGTATATTTTACTAAAAAATACTTCATGTGAGATATTAATATATAATATATTATTTACACAGAATAAAAGTTATTGCTTACAAATAAACATTTTTTTTTTATCCTAATGGAATATGGGGATTAAAATAGAAAATTACAATAATTAAAAAATGAGATTAAGTTTGTTATATAGCACCAAACATATTTCATAATTTACTTTTAGTTATACAAGTTGAAAATAATTAAATGTAAGGTTCTAGAAAGAGAATATAGAATATGTATTTACGATAATGAAATTAATGGTTATTTTTAAGATAATTGTGATTAAATATAGTACTGAATGATTAATGTTATTAATCTGGAAGAGGTAGAAGCTCATGGGCTAATTATAACTTAATTTATATTGTATGTTTATTGAATTATGTAATAATTGTCTTATGGTTTGAGTTCACAGTTAAAAAACAATTTTGACCTTGTTCTCTCATCTGTTAGTAAATGCTGATTAAAGAATGAATTTTTATTTTTGAGAATATCAGTCTTAGTCTGTCTCAAAGACAGTGGTTAGGTTCTAAAAGAAATATTTTGTATGTTAATTGTATGTTATTGCATTTTTGAATTTAAACATTTGGTTTTTCATTATTTTCAGACAGTTTTCAAATATCACAGAGCTGGTGTTGCCAATATTGTGGCAGGAAGTGGTATGATTATTTATGATCCGATTATTTTTTTAAGAACTTAGATATAGATGTGTTTTATGTAGTAATTGTTAAACTGAGATTAAAACAACATTTGAAGTGTAATATTACTTTTATATGATACTTAACAATTTGGAGCTTTTTCTGTTTATATCATGTTAAACTCTGGTATCTGTTTTTTATATTAATAACACTGGACAACAAACACTTTGCTACTGGAGAAAACTTAAGTGTCATGATATAAAAGGCTGTTTATTTTAGATATTATTGAGTAATTTATTTTGTAATTTAGTAATTTATTTTGTTTTCAGTGTCACGAGAACCTTCTGTACTCGTTTAAAGTTGACATAAATTTAATACTTATAACTTTCTATATATTGGGTATATCTTCATGAAATTTGGCAGTCTTTCAGTTAATATTACAAGTCTTTCACATACAAAAGGTCATATTTCTTAGTGAAGTACTTTTAATAGAATAAAATAAAGTTTTGTCCATGAATATATTGAGTATTTGTTTTCAATAGTTTGTGTGCCAAGTAATTTTCATGTTAAAATTAAAAATATTTTTAAAAAATCTCAAATTTCC